GCTTACGTTTTTTCATCTGTACAATGAGAGACTCTAAAAAACTAACCTCTAAGATCCTTTCCGTTTCTATTTTTAAAAAATTTTTTAATGTTTATTTATTTTTGAGAGATACAGAGCATGAGTGGGGGAGGGGTGAGAGAGAGGGAGACACAGAATCTGAAGCAGCCTCCAGGCTCCGAGTTGCCAGCACCGAGTCGAGTCCGTGGCGGGGATCAAACCCATGAACTGTGAGATCGTGACCTGAGCCAAAATCTGATGCCTAAGCGACTGAGCCACCAAGGCGCCCCAGATCCTTCCCCTTTCTAAGAGACTTATCCTTTCCAGCTAAAGAAACTTACAAGTAAAACATGCTGTAAAACTTGTTTATAAAAAATTAAAAAGAAATTATATTTATGCACAAACCATATTTGAGCTAATTGCAAAAATTTGTTTTAATTTTTCAGAGTCACATTTATTTTTCCAGAAGTGGACACCAAAAGTGCGTCCTGAATTCAGTTTCATGGATGGTTTATGAAACCTGTTGCTGCATTTTCCAGGGACATGTTGATGAGTCCATTGCCCGTGAATATAGATAAGAGCCTCCTTAGATGAAGGTCCACATGAGGGAAAAACATTTTAGGTGATGACAGAAAAACGTTTTCCTGTTACTGATAACTTAAATATCATATCCATTTTTAATTTTAGATCAGAGCCAAACAAGTTTAAGCTACATTCTGCTGCATATTTTTGTTCTTCTGCTCCCATTCTTTCTGTTCTACTTGTATTATAATCTCATAGCTCTGATTCTTATTATTTATATTTGATCACTACTTTATATGTTTGAACTCATTTTATTATTATTATTCTTTAGATTTCACTTTAAATCCCATGTAGGATGATATGAAGTATTTTAAATGAATGAATTGATTAGCTTAATATTTACTAGGCCTTCAAAGATTATTGAGAGAACTGAATATTTTTAGTTTGAAAAAACAAAAATGTCTTCAAAGTTAAATAGTGTCTTATAGAAAAGAGAATATAGATTTCTGTTGCTATGAAGGACAAATATATGGAAATTACAGGTAGATTTCAATTACAGTTAGATTTCAATTCACTGTGATGAAAAGTTCTTAACAGTCTTAAAAAGGAATAGGCTGTCCCAGAAAGCATCACGTTTTCTATCATGTTAGTTCATTTGAACAGAACTTGGACAACTAGTGGTGGGGATGATCCTTTAGTGAGTGGGAGGCTGGGCCAGATGTAATCTAATGCCTCCCACATCTTTGTGATTATAATAAAATACATAGTGCAGCAAGAAAAACAATATATAGGTTCTTATAGCATCACATTACATTGATGACAACAGTACTGGTAATCATAATAATAGCACTAATGGCCATAATAACACAGTATAGGACTTTACTCGCTTTTATCTGGGTCAGCATCAAAAGACATCATATGTAAGTATTATTTCTCATCACAGTTTTACAGATAAGAAAATTAGAATGTTTCAAGGTGAAATAACATACAAGGGCAATGAAATTGCCTATGCTGATAATAACTCAGCAAAAATTAAGGAGGCCGCTGGTAAACCAGTAACTGTGGTTAACTAGCAAATGTTGACTCTGGTATAGCAGAGGCTTAAAGGATAGGGATGTAGGACTAGTAAAGTTTTGGCTAAGGAAGAACTGGCTATGATTCTGAGGATATTGAATTTGATTTTTTGATATTTAACAAAATGTCATGCTGCAGACCTCTGAGGAATCCAGTGAGCATTTAACTCCTTAATTCTCTATTTTGTAAGAGGATAGAGGACCGTCAGGGACTCTTCTCCCACTTCCTCCTGTATTTACATTATTCTTTCAGACCAGCTACTTTAAAAGGCAACACACACTGCTACAAGCAGGTCTGAGCTCCCATCTTTACAGCTTTGCAACTAGAGAAAAGGTCCAATTCGAAACCCACCCATATACCAATCACTGGGCTAGAAAGGGCGAAATACCTGACTTGGAGCTATGCCCACTTGTGGGTGTGTTATTATTAAAAGCAAGAAAAGACATTCCTAGCTACAAAGTTTTCTAGGTGCGATATGTGGTGCAATGTCCATTTTCCTTTTTCCATTAGTTTGCTTCAGACTACTCTCTTGATGCTTAACTTGTGACCTATTATAAGGCTATAATTTAAAACTCAGTCCTTAGATATGTCAAGAACTGGTAGAAAGTTTGAACTTAGAGGATTTAAAAAGTGTTCAGTCAGGGATTAGGCAAATTCTCAAGCAGGGTGAACTAAAGGGTATTCTTCCGTAATCTCTAAATGAGGAAAGGAGATAGTAGGAGTCTTTGTTATCCACAGTTCAAATTATTTTTCAAGAGTGGCGATAGGGGTAGCCTGTCAGTTACATGTGCAAATAATGATAGTACAATATAATTGTTATCATAGAATTTAAGTCCAAAATGGGTGAAGGAGAGGCAAGTCTGTCTCACAAAGTTATGAAAAGTTCAATGGAGGAGGTAAGTGTTCAATTCAAATGAGATGTGAAGGATCTTGAAAGAACCTGGTAGGATCACAGAAAAGCAAGGAGTTTAGTGTGGCTGGTATGGCATAAATGGGCAATAATGGCAGATGATGTTAAGTCTGGAGCCAGATCGTGAAAGGTCCTACTGGTGATGGGAAGCTTCTGAAAAAAATCTTGGCAGAGGAATATTGTGATCATATTTTCAACTTACAAAAACTATTAATAGAATGTAGGTTGTACTGGAGAGGAAAATAACAAGGAGTGAATGCAATTGTCCAAGTAACATGAGTCAGGAGAGGTGTTAATTACTTGATGGACTAAGACAGTGAGAGTGAAGATGAAGAGTGGATTTGAGATACTTAAGTAGATCAGAGGCAATAGAATTTGATATTAGGACAGAGAAAGTAAGGGAACTGTAATATAGGGGTACTCATGGATTTCTGCCTTGGGTCACTGGGTGCCATTATCTGAAATAGGGAATGAAAATGGGCTAGTTTCCAGATGGGTGGGGAGAGTCACGGCATCAGGAACAGGGAATGGTAAAGATACCAATGGCAATTTAGGACCAAATTAAGGTATCTGTGTAGTATCCAAATGCAGACGCTGTTGCTTAAAATGGTCTAACCTGAAGATACACATCTGGGAATATTTGGTGTACTCGGAAACCTGGTAGCCAAGTCCATGATGGAAAAGAGATTGCTCAAGGATACAAGATGAGTAAGGTCAAATAACAAAAGAAAATGGAGAGTTTGGGAACACAGAAGGCCTTAAGAAAAAATATTTAAAGTGCTTCAGAGACGCAGTTGCAGAACCAAGATTTAGTGGGACTAGGGAAACCAAAGGGAGGGTTAACTATTACTATTTTTTAACACAGAGGTTTTTTTTCTTCTTCCTCCAGAAGTTTTACATTTCTTGAAGCAGGAACTGTGTTTTCACTTTCACTGTATTTCTTTTCATGCGTAATTCAGTGAATATAACAAATGCTCAATAAATTCTCATTCAGTCTCAAGCACAATGCACCCATGTAAATGTAAAATGTTTCTTCGTTTTAATTCTTCAAATAAACTTCTAGTTACCCATGAGTTTACTTAAATCAATTATTACAATCTTTATGTTTATGTTCTGCCTGCACCAGCTTTGAAAGGAGTTCCAAAATTTTATTTACTTTTTATTGAGGGATATTTGATACTAAGATGGTAGTGGGTTTTTTTTTTATCTTCCATTTTTAAAAAAGCAATTTATTACAGAACAAAGTTTAGACCGGTTCCCAAGCAGCAGCTTGTAACTTAATACCTGTTCTAAAGCATAGTAAGGTGGCAGCCAAATTTTTCTTATCACAATTAACCATTAACCGAGTCAACACGAGTATTAAAGCTTCGATTTTATTAACAGTCACGAAACAACCAGTTAGGGAAAACACATTCATGCCAATGGAAGCCATTTAACTGCAAACATCATTTAAAAAAGATTAAAACAAAAATTTTTAAATGTTTTATTTCTGAGAGAGAGAGAGAGAAAGAGAGAGAGAGAGAGAGAGAGCGTGAGCAGGGGAGGGTCAGAGAGAGAGGGAGACACAGAATCTGAAGCAGGTTCCAGGCTCTGAGCTGGCTGTCAGCAGAGTCCGACAGGGGGCTTGAACCCACGAACCGTGAGATCATGACCTGAGCTGAAGTCGGACGCTCAACCTACCGAGCCACCCGGGCACCCTTAAAAAATTTTTTAATGTTTGTTTATTTTTGTGAGGGGGACAGAGCGTGAGCAGAGGAAGGGCAGAGAGAGAGGGAGACAGAATGGGAAGCAGGCTCCAGGATCCAAGCTGCCAGTACAGAGCTGGATGCGGGCTCCAATTTATGAACCTGCGGGCTCGAACTCCAGAACCGTCGGATCATAACCTGAGCAGAAGTCCGATGCTCAACCGACTGAGCCACCCAGGCGCCCCTAACTGCAAACAGGTCATAATGGTTCACAGAAAGCTAAAGGACTTGCGTAGTCTCAAGTAGTTTCCGTACCAGGCGGCGCAGATTATTCTCTCTCAGGTAACAATACTTGCCTAACCTAAAGCTCAATCCTTGGTAGGTCCACGTTCCTGAGCTTAGAAAATACTGACTATAATCAGCAAGAGCACCGGAATAATCACTTCCACTTGAGAATATCTCCTCCTCCCTTCAACACCACACAGCCAACCTGCACGCACCTTCGCCAACAGCTAACAAGCCCTCCCACACCGCCCTTGCCTTAGGGGAAACGTTCAAGCTCTGGCTCTCGCGGGATCTCGCGCCTTGGAGTAAGTCAACTGGATCGCGCGCCCCATCGAACCCCCGCGGGAATACAGTTCGCCAGGTCCGGAAAGCCGGGAAATCGCGGGCGGGGCGGGGTTAGCTCGGTGAGCGTGAAGGCGGGGCCTTTTCCAAGGAGGCGGGGCGGGAGCGAGACTGGGAGTGGGGCGGGTCTCCCGGGACCTGTTGATCGCAGGTGTCACTGCCCCGACTGGCCCTTGGGTGTCGGGGCGTGTGCGCATGCTCCGTGCGCCGGGTCGAGCTCTGGGCGGCGATACCAGACGCCTCTGCTCCAGTTCCCGGTGAACCGCGACTCCGGTGGCAGCTGTTAGTGTCGACGGGGTGTTGGCGTGAGGCAGAGCTGGGCCAGCGGGAGGTAGCTCTTCGGAAGTGGAAGGCCGGTATTTCTCTACCTGCACCGCACGCTCCTCTCGTTAGGAGGGCAGAGCTCAAGGTAAGTCTCCGAAACTAGTCCCTAGATAGAGATCCAAAGACCTGAGAGCCCGGGCCTGGGTGGGAGACCCCAGTTCCAGCGCCAGACCGTGTCTCCCTAGCAGCGCTGCGACATCCTCCGCCCCTGCTCCGCGGACTCTCAGCCTGGGTTCAGGCACCCGGGGGCACGAAGCCTGCCCGCCTCCTTCCCGCCACGTCCCGGCCCTGGCGGAGATGCCTCTGGGCAGGCTGGAGGCGCGCCGGAGGCGAAAGGAGGTGCTGTATTTACTGGGTCGTGGCTGTTCTTGCTGCTGTGTTTGAGGACGGGCAAGAGGCAGAACCTGGAGTGCAGCTGGGTGCGTTGGGATTATGAATATACGCTAATTTGTTCCCTGCCCCTTGCTTGCGGAGCCACTCCCGAGCAGCAGTTTTATAAAGGGGTCTAGATGGTTCTGTTGCCTTCCTTGGAGAAGAGAGATGACTGGATACGTAAGAATCTCGGGGCTGGTGGTTTCTGGGTGGTAGTAGTAATTTATAAAGTTAATGTTTAGCTTTTAAACAACAACTTATGGGACATTTACCAAACTACTTTTAAATGTCGTTGGAGAACAGGAAGTACTTGTACAGGTGTACGAGGGAGGCTTTCTAAAGGTTGCAATCTGAGCGTGTTCTGAGGTTTTCTTATCCTGCTGCATGGTTTTCTGTATCAGTGCAAAGTCTGATTAATTATTAGTGCTTGCAAATGCTTGCAAAATGTACTGCAAGGCTTTATTTGTTAGACAGCAGAGTATGCCAAAATGTTTCCTTATCTGGAAAAACATATATATTTTTGTACTGGATTTTGTACTGGATCAAGGCTGTTTGTGAGGAATGTTTAAACTTAGGAAGTTCTTTGTGATTAGGGTCTGATTCACTTTTAACTCTGTTCTTTATTAAAAAAACATAGCTAATTCTCAGTGATTAAAAGAAGTAACAAGTGCTAACGCAAAAATCCGATTGAAATGAATTTTTGGCTAAATGGATACTTGCATGTTAGTTTAATTTTCTATTTTCGGTTTCCTGATGATGGCCTAGGTAAAGCTCCTTCATCCTGTGAAGGAGAAATCAGAAAAACAAAGCTTACTTTTTAAAAGTAATATATGCTTTATCTGCCATTGTCATAAGAATTAAAATAGACAAACTCAACTGTAAGTTAGAGTTAATTATAGTCTGGGGAAAAAACACAGATTTTGTTTTTGTTTTATGTTTTGGAGGCTCTTAATAGGAGCTTTTTGGACAGTTTGTCTAGGCTCGTGATTACTGGTGATTTATTTAAGTTTGCTCATAAGTTAAACTCATTGGTAGTTATGTGTATTTTTTCCTACAGTGTAGAAAATAAGTAACCAAGAACAGACCTTTTTTTTCTCTATTAATTAAAAAACTTTTTATAAGCATATGTAGGTTGTATGTAGTTCATGAAACCTGGCACTAGTAGTCAACCCATAAATATTCTCTAGAAGATATAGAAAGTAGTTTTTTAAAAGATAGCTATTTCAATATGGGAGGGAATCCCTTTTCCACATGGTTTGTTCTCTTTCTTAAAAATGAAAATCTCAAAAAAAATGAAAATCTCTTTTCAAAACCTTTTATGATTTTAGAGGGTATTGTGGTTCAAGATTTTTTTTTTTATATTATTTAGTGCCAAATAAACGTTTCTTTTAAACTCTACTACCAAGAAACAATATTGGAATTATGGTTTAGAAGTTTGGTTTAGCAAGACAAAGTTAAAGAATGAAAATTCTGATTTATTTTAAGGTTATGTATACATTAAAAAGTCAAAATCAGGGTTATTTTCCCTGTTGATACTGTTTGGAACTCGCTCACCTACCACGGTAGGGAGGATGTTGCCGTACCCTACAATTTTCCAAAAGTATGTTTGAAATCTATACGCTGGTACATTAAGTTATCCCACAAAGATGTTTAGTTACTACAATACTGAGCAGATCTTGTTATTTGACAGCTTTAACTATAAGGGTGTTTCTTAATTATAGATCTGAAAGACGACCTACAGCGAGGTCGTTTACATAGTGCATCTGAAAGTATTTTGAATAGAGTGTGCTAGGTGTGCTGCGGCCCAGAAGATTGTCAGTCTGGTCTACTGGTACTCATGAGCTCTTGGATTAAGGAACAAATGTATGTCATCTTTGGAGTACTTGCGGTAGATTAGTGATGATACAGATATAGCATAAGTATTATTATAATTTTGTACAAATGTAATGATTTTAGAAAATTTTGCATTACAATATATGCACATAGTAGGAACAAGAAATAGATGCAGCCTGTTCTACCACAGATAAAATCTTCAAAGGTTATTTAAACTTTAAATAACTTCATATCTTAGTCTTGGTAAATTATTATGATCTTTTTAAAGATAATAGAATATTATATATAAAGAGACGGGTGGTGCTCTTTAGGTAAGAAATAACTTTAAAAAAAAATTTTTTTTTTAATGTTTTACTTATTTCTAGGAGAGAGAGAGAGACAGCATGAGCAGGGGAGGGTCAGAGAGAGAGGGAGTCACAGACTGAAACAGGCTCCAGGCTGTGAGGTGGCAGTCAGCACAGAGCCCGACGCGGGGCTCAAACCCATGAACCGCGAGATCATGACCTAAGCGAAAGTCGGACGCTTAACCGACTAAGCCACCCAGGCGCCCCTAGGTAAGAAATATCTTTTATTTGCTTCTCCAAGTTAACCCATATCCTCTCTCAGGAGTTCTTTTTTTTTTTTTTTTTAATTTTTTAATGTTTTATTTCTGAGAGAGAGAGAGACAGCGTAAGCAGGGGAGGGTCAGAAAGAGAGGGAGATACAGAATCTGAAACAGGCTCCAGGTTCTGAGCTGGCTATCAGCACAGAGCCCGATGCGGGGCTCGAACTCAGGAACTGTGAGATCATGACCTGAGCTTAAGTCGGACGCTTTACCAACTGAGCCACCCAGGCGCCCCTCAGGAGTTCTTAAAGTAGGGTCCAAGATTAGAACTGTAGTCTGTGACTACAATTGAATTTTAATGTAATTGATTCTTTTGTAATCTTATGATCAATTTTTCTTTCTCTCTCTCTCTCTGTCTTTCAATGTTATGAATTTTATTTTATGCATTTACAAACATTCATTTTTCCAAGGAGTCCAAAGGCCTCATTAGGCCACCAAAAGTGTCTGTGACATACACAAAAATGCTACAAACCATTGCATGTGGTTGAAGAATTTTTGTTTTATGAGTCACTTCGGAAAAGTTGCTGCTTATATTCATATTTGTAATTCATCAGAAAATAAAATATTATGCAACATAAACCATATTTTAGTATCTAAGCTATCATTTCGGTTATCTGAATTGTCATATTTTTTAATTAATTTGGTATTAAAATTTTTTTTTATGTTTATTTATTTTTGAGAGAGAGACAGAGCACAGGCAGGAGAGGGGCAGAGAGAGAGACACAGAATCCAAAGCAGACTCCAGGCTTTGAGCTGTCAGCACAGAGCCTGACACTGGGCTTGAACCCACGAACCATGAGATCATGACCTGAGCTGAAGTCGGATGCTTAACCGACTGAGCCACCCAGGTGCCCTTAATTCGGTATTTTTGAACACATTTTATAAATGTAGCTTCTGTTTAATTGTGTTTTGTATATACTGACTTGCAGAAAGTAGTTTGAAGAAATATTTTCCCCTTGGAATTTGGAAGTTTCCAAATTTTTCTTCCTTTCTGTGATTTTCTGAGTTAGCAAATTTATTCAATGAACATTTATTGACCTGTTGTATGCTAGGCACTAGAAAAATCAAAAATAATGAGACAAAGCTAAAGTAGTCAGAAATATGAATTCTTCCTTTTCTGAGCCTCAGCCTGTTCTCAATCCTCCCCCAACTAAACTGAGTTTCCAGAGATAAAAGAGTCTTTGTTTTCTTATACCATTGCCTTTGTAAGATGCCGCTTCTCTTCCTCCCATTACCCTGTCAACTTACAGGTCACCCAGACCACACCTGTGAAGTATTTTCTAATCTAGCAAAGGACAGTAGATTATTTCGTTTTTGTGTTATGACTGCACTTCGTACATTTCTTTTAAAAACCTGTACTGTGTTTCTGTAGAGGGAAGACAGAGTAAGGGAATCTGGAGAGGATGGAATGTGTACTTTTGTCTTAAGTGTAAGGGGAGTATCACGTGGACAGCACAAAGGGTGGGAGGCAGGCAGGCAGGGGAACTTTCTCTGGGACCCAGAGACATGATGAGAGCAGTGTCTGATGTATTTTTGGTGCTCTAGTTATTTTTTATGGCTAGATGGATTATGTTATTTGTGAATTTAAAATTGTCATTAAGGAAGTTTGTAGTTATTTTTCTGAAACGTGGTACATAGGTTGAGTTTTTCTAAACTAAATCTCATTTGTTTACATTGTTATTCCATAGTTGCTTTCCATTTATTTCTGATGCATTGCCTTCTAATGTTTTAACTTAGTTTCTCCTTCTCTAGTCCAAAAGGTTGTAAATGAATGTTTAAAACAATACTGTGATGAATCCACTTGTAAAGTGAAGCATTCCCATTTTTTTGTACATTAGAATTTTTCATGTTAAGTTTTCTTAAAGTAGGATAGCTCTGTAAATGAAATTGTTTTATATTCTCCTAAGAATAACTTACAGATATTAAAATTTAGAAATTGATACTTTATTGTACAATTTATCTGATCTTATTAAGGCTATAGTCAACATTGATACATCAGTGTAAGGAAATGGAGAAAGATAGCAAAATGATATATAAAATATCATATAAGATAGCTTTTACTTTCTTTTCAAATGTTTTATTAAAAACCATTTACCTAGGGGCGCCTGGGTGGCTTAGTCGGTTAAGCGTCCGACTTTCGCTTAGGTCATGATCTCGCGGTTCGTGGGTTCGAGCCCCGCGTCGGGCTCTGTGCTGACTGCCAGCTCAGAGCCTGGAGCCTGTTTCAGTCTGTGACTCCCTCTCTCTCTGACCCTCCCCTGCTCGCGCTGTCTCTC